AGCAGAAGTAAGAAGTAGTTAAATAATATAGAGCTTAAAAGCATGGGCTTTATAGTTTTAAAATTAATTTACTTTTGTACTCTGGCTCTGAGTCATTTAACATTATTTATTCCTCACTTTAAAAAAAAAAAGTATAATTTTAGTATCTCCATCATAGATTATTGGTAGCTCTAGTGATGTAGTGGTTAAAACATTTGGGTGCTAACCAAATGTAATGGTTCAAACCCACCAGCTGCTCTGCAGAAGAAAGATGAGGCAGTCTGCTTCCATAAAGATTTGCAGCTTTGGAAACCCAGTGGGAGTCACTATGAGTCAGAATTAACTTGATGGTGGTGGGCTTGGTTTTTTTTTTGTTTTATCATAGGATATTTGTGAGACAGCACTATGTATAAAGCTTTTGACCTGTCCATGATAGTGCCTAAGGCACTTGACTGCTAACCAAAAGGCTGGCGGTTCAAACCCACCAGCCACTCCTCGGAAGGAAGGTTGGGCAATCCTACTTCCATAGTGATATTGCCTCGGAAACCCAAGGAGGGGTCGCTATGAGTCGGGGCTGACTCGACGGCAAATAACAATGTTATAAATGCAAAAGCAATTATTGACATTATTATTATTATTATTATTATTATTATTGGAAACATTGAATTAGAAGTAATCCCAACATCATTTTCAAATTTCTAATTCTGGTAAATTAAATAAAAAAATATAAAATAGATGGAGAACTCTGACACAAAGAGATTGTAGAAATTCCTCTCAGAAGAAGTCTTAAACAAGCAAAAACTACTATACAAGTTCTCATTGAAATTGATAGCAAGAAAATGACCCTGGATAAGCATCTTGGAAACACAAGGAGTATAGACATTGTAACAGAGTCAACTTTCTGTGGTTCATCCTAGTTGAGAGTTTGGAAGTCCAGATCTTGGATGGAAATTGACTAAAGAATGCAAAGCCATAAGGATGACATCGGGGAGCTTTGGGAGAAAGATAAACTGTAGATACCAAAAACCCACAAAGAAGAAATATTTTCAAATCAAATGTCCAAGTTTGCATACCAAATAAGAATTTTTAACTGAAAGAACCATGTCAGCTCTGCAGGTTATACATGCCTCTAGAGTTACTTTTCAGTCCCAGATTCTATCATTTTACCGTGGTAACCAACTTAATTATTACTAACTGTAAATCACTTGAATGCCTAGCCACTGGACATGGCACATTTCCAATGTTTAGATAAGGGGGACAGCCACAGCTTTGTGGTTAAACACTGAGGCTGTAGAGCCAGACTGCCTGAGTTTGGAATCAACATTGGCTTCTCTACTTACTAGATACATGGCCTGGGATGAGTCACTTAACTTTCATTTTACCTCAACTGTAAAATGAAAATGCCACAAAGACTTTCATTTTAGTTTTTTTGGTGTTGTGAAGTTTAAATGAATTACAATTTATAAAGTGCATATAATAGTGCTTCTCACACAGTAAACTCTCAATAAACATAAGCTGCTACCATTATATAAAGTGATTTCTCTAAACAGTCCACAAAGTTTAGTTACATCTTAATCACCTGGAAACCTTGTTCAAACAAAGATCTGTAAGCCCATCTCTAGAGTTTCTGAGTCAGTAGGTGTAGGGGGGAGTCTGAGAATCTGTGTTTTTAACAAGTCTCCAAGGAGACATGGTGGTACAATTTTTAAGTAATTGGCTGCTAAACCAAAGGTAGGTGATTCAAGCCCACTCAGCAGCTCTGTGGAAGAAAGAGCTGGCCATCTGATTCCATCAAGATTATAGTGAAGAAAACCCTATGGAGAAGTTCTACTCTGTCACACGAGGTCGCCATGAGTGGAATTGAATCAACGGTATCCAACAACAACCACCAAATGTTCCCAAGTGATGCTAATACTGCTGGGCCTAGTACCACATTTTGAGAACAAATGTCCTAAAACATTCACCCCAATTTTGTACATTAAGCATACCTAACCCAAACCCAAACCAAAGCCAGTTGCTTGATGAGTGACTTCCAAATTATGGCTATCTTATGTGTTACAAAATTGAACTGCCCCATAGGCCTTTATTGGCTGTAACCTTGACAGAGCAGATTGCTAATGCCAGCCCTTTCCTTCCAGGCACCCCTGGGTGGATTCAAACCAATCTTTAGGTCAGTAGTTAAACCCAACCCAGAGACCTTTAAGTGTACCTAGAAGGAATGAGACAAAGTAATTTTTGCTATATCATTTAGTGTTTAGAGTCAAACTATTGGGAGCAATAGCCATTAAATATTGTCTGAATAGCTAGAGGTGTTTCCAAAATAGCGCTTCCTCTACATGAGGGAGGAGAATGCAATCTTAGCAGAAATAATAGTAAATCTGGCTCTCTTATAATCTTTTTCAAAACAGGGCTTTCTCTAATTGGGCCAAAGAGAAAATTCAAACTACAGGCATCGTACCTTATCACCATTAACTCTTATCTTTGGGGAGTCATAGAATCGTAGCTACCTTGTGGTGATTATAAAAGTTCCAAACAAACCCTTAAACCAAAAGCCCACCTGTCAATAGGTAGATGAAGCCAACCAGGAAATCCCTGGAGAAATCCCTGGGAATTAGAAAACAAGCAGGAAAAGACTGAAGGCGTCCGCGCGTCTCATTAAAAAATAAAAGAGAGCTCGGTGGTCGTTTATTTTCCTGTACAGTGGGACCCAGCCAAGTTCCCCAGACATAAGTCAACGTCACTCCGCCACCTCCCGGCTCTCCATCCCTGGGCTCTTCCTCTGTGTGCGGCCCCGCGACCCGGGTCAAACTCAGCAGGGACGCGGCGGGCTGCGCAAGTCCATTGGTCAGGAGGGCGAAGAGGCAAGCGGCTCCGCCAATCCTTTCTGGAAAGGGCAAGGGAACCCGCGCCAGGGTGGTGAAGGGTTCGCCGTGGGAATGAAGGGAGTCCGACTGCAGAACCCGCGCGGGAGAGAGCAGGGTGGGAGGGCTGACTGCTGGTGGGTTGGGAAGACGCACCGGCGAGGAGAAAAGGGGCTGCAAAAAAGCAAACAAGATAGTCACGTCTTTGGCAGAAGACAAGAGCAGAAAGGAAACAGCAAGCGGAGATAGTTATTGTGGGTACCTATGACAGATAATTTTCTAAAAAAGGCAGCTTGAAAAGAAATTTCTGGAATGGGGGACAAAATGGAGTGATAGTGATAATTATATTTAAACCACAACTTTAAGCAGAACTAAAACACATTGTTAAGGGAGAACAGAAATTTAAAAAGCCTCCATTATAATATAGTCTTTTGTTTCTCTAACAACGACAAGGAACACTTCTGGATTACTTGAGCACGGGTTATAGTCCTCTGACGTTTTGGAGGAGCCTCCTGGTCTCTTTGAAGACCATTCCTCCTGCGCTTCCAGCCAAAAAAACTAAGCCACTTAGTCACTCTGGAAGCAGAGAACTTTTCCTTCCTGTGAAGATTTTCTGTCTCTACCTACTTTAGAAGAGGATTCAGGACCAGGGAAGAACAGCTCAGGTATTGTCAATTCCCATCTGTTTTACTAGATGCATTTTTCAGGTTTAAGGATTGTGTGAATCTACTATCCACATGTTCTTTTATACTTCTGATTTTCTTTTAAATAACTGATGTGAGCACACCAAGAACTTCTATTTTCCACCTGAACAAAAATACTACTTTCATCCTGCTATTTTTTCTTTACTTACCCAGTAAATGGAAATGTTTTCTTTAGACATACAAAGTGTACTTAAAATTTTTTTAACCATGTGACTACAATGACAAAGTGGCTGTGTGACTAATCCTTTATTATATTTTAATTTAGGCTAGGTTTTTTTTTTAATAACACTTTTATTAGCTTTATATCTATCTGAAGATGCATTCAATATAGCATCTATGTTATTTCTAGAGTAGTGTATAACTAAACAGTGATTGCTGGTAGAACCCAAAAGAAACAATTACATTCCAGGGTGCATTGAGATGGATAAATTATGGTCACTTTTCTAGGAAAAACATAACAACATTTTATTGCAACCCTTGCATGTTCTGAATTTCAGGAGAGAATTAGGATTGGATCTCTGGGCTTATACCACATATGGGGAAGAGAGACCATATTTCTGATAAGCTGAGCATATATTTCTTCCCTGGTTTTGCTCCCTCATCCTGATGGGAGACTCGGGGATGAGGAGTACGGACTGAGGAAAGGCAGAGCAACAGCAAGCAGCATCATGCCTGAGAGGGGCCGGCGTGGCCTGTGCAGGGCAGGATCAAACTCAAGGCCTCTCAGCCAGTCAGGGATTGTTGCTTGCGGTCATTGTTTGTCAGAGACTTATACAGTATGTCTTTTTTGGCAAAGACTTGAGGACACATTAGAAATAGATTTATTCACCTTTAGATTAAATGTTTTTGAAGAATATTTAATAAAATGGAAAAGACATTATATATTAAATGATAAAAAGGTGTTACATAATTAATTATTGTCATATATGCCTCATTCACACACAAAAAAGGCTGGAAATAATACAGCAAAATGTCGATGGTTATAACTGTGTGGTGGGATTGTGAATAATTTTTATTTTCTTTATTTTTCTTCTCTGACATTTCCAAACTTTCTACAATGTGTATTACTTTTATAATCAGTTTTTTTAAAATTAGTCTAATGTAAGAACAAAAAACTCATCTTATATGTCTCAGTTGTCCCAATAACTAGCCTCCCTTTTTAATGAATCCTTAAGTAATAGAGACTGCTACTTTTCATTAGGAAATGAGAAGCTGTGAAGGAATTTTCACAGCAGTAAAAATGTTCCACTTGATCACAAAGCTCAACATGAGGCCAGCACACACTATGGTTTTGTTAAAAATAAGTTTTCCCACAAAAGTTGTGAATAAAATTGGCCACTTATAGCCCATCAGGTAGGTTTCTCACATTCTGAAGAATAGTGCTGGAAATCCACATAGGTACCAAGATCTATGCTTGAACTATATTCATAACTTCAAGATATGATGCTGTTTCAGGATGAAGGTGAAAGACAGAGGAATCATCTGCTGGCTGGTCTCCTTCACTGCCATCTGTCTGGTGGCCATTCCCAGAGGCAAGGCCTGTCCTCGCCGCTGTGCCTGTTACGTGCCCACAGAGGTGCACTGCACGTTTCGGTACCTGACCTCCATACCAGACGGCATCCCGCCCAACGTGGAACGCATCAATTTAGGGTGCGTGGGGCCCTGCTCTTGTCTTTTCTCAAAGGGGAATTGATCATATGGATTACTTGTCCCCAAAACACTTGTAGCTCTAGCAGATTCACCACCATTGTTTTAACAGTTTTTCTCTTCTGAAATTAGAATCTCAAGTTTGTTGGGGTAATAAGAAATTTTTTCCTGCTAAACTTTTAGTACGAGAATGTTCTTTTAGAACATGAAAGCACTCTTACTAGGTTTGTAGGTCCATTACTGTAGAAAAGCTTCATTCTGATTCTATTTTTGCAGGCATATGATATAGCTTGTTAACAATCAGAGTTAAGATATATCAATGAGAGATGACAGGGCAACTGGAAGTGTCCTCCAGTGTATAAAAGATATGTATGAGAAGTCTGCTAAACGCTTTTAAAAGGCCCTTCGACTTCTTTCAGTACAAACTTACTTATTTAAAATACTTTTAAAACTACATCCCTAACTTAAGATGTTGATCTCTTGTCTTCTAAATTGTCTGTTGAAAGGTAGCTATATTTTAAAGACTCATAAAAAACGTGTATTTGTATTTGTGTGAATGCACATGTCATCAGACTTGACATCATTTATTTAACAAGCACTGACCACCTACTATGTACCAAGCCCAAAGGCTGGCACTGAAGATACAACAATGACCTAGGTACATCATTCACTTCTATAGCTATAGTTAAAAGGAGGAGATAAATTATACAGTCAGTGCAATTCATTAGAAACTTTAATAGAGCATACAAAGTGCCTTGAGAACAATCTCTAATAATAAGAGCTAACATTAATTGTGTGCCTACTATATGCTGGCATAGGACTAAGTATTCTGTATGGCATTCATTCATTTAATCCCCATAGCCCTTTGTAGTAGGTTCTATTATGTGCATTTCATGCATGAGGAAACTGAGGTGCAATACATTACTGATTTTACCAAGTGTTGCACAACTACTAGGTGCCTGAGCTTGTGATCCTGTCCAAGACATTTGGCTTCAGAGTTTGCATGTCTTAAGCATTGTTTTATAACGATGAATTCCACCATGAGAAGAAGTGGAGGAGTTCTAGCAAGATAGTGGAATAGACAGACAAGCTACACAGACCCTGTGCAGCAAAGCAATGAGAAACCAATTGAAACGAATACAGAAGACAATCCTGGAACCCTGAGCTTTGAAGGCAAGCATAAAGAAGTGGATTAAATACCAATTAGTAGAAGGACCTGAATGAAAACAGTGAGTAAGGAGACAAACGGAGCTGCGAACAGCTGGTTGTCCTGTGGGCACAGCCACTTTGAATATATCCCTTAGGTAACAACCTAAGAATTGACTCTGCTAACTAAAAGCTGCATGGACAAGGATAGCATTGGTGCTTGACAACCAGAAAGGAAAACAGTGAAGAAAGAGACAAACACACCTGTGGGCTGCAGAGGCTATACTGAGGGTGCAGCCATTTTGAATATACACAAGTGGCGGCGTGAATGTTTTGAATATATCCAAGTGGTGTTCTTGCTTGGTCTGTGACATGGGACTGGGCTCTGCTTGCCGAGAGCATCTTGGAAGGCTGCATTGGAGGCTGACGATTGGAGAAGTGCAATATTCCCCTTGTTACTCTTATACCCCACACCTTCTTGGTGAACAAGGGTGTGGCCATCCCCCACATCCACCCACCATCTTGATCAGCAGGAATTCCATCCCAATCTGTGTCCTGACAGAGCCTGGGTACTGTGCCCTGCCCCACCCCCCAGCTTTGTTTTTGTTTGTTTTTAGATTACTCTTTTTATCTTCCTCTTTTCTTCCTCTATTTTTTTCCCCATCTTTCTCATCCCTGGTTACTGGTTTTTTTTTTTTTCCATTTTTTCTCATCTTTTTTCCTGGTTCCCTTGTTTTTCTTTCTTTTGGTTCTTCCCATCCTTGTTTTTCCTTTTGCACTTTTCCCACTTTTTCTTTACTATTTTACTCTTGCTGTTTTCTCTCATTCCTCCCTCCCAGATATTGTGGCTCCCCCCCCCTTT